GTTCGAAGTTAATTTTTCGGTTAACATCACCTTTAGAACTCTTGGGAGATGAGGTAGTGATTGGACCCGTCCAACCCAGGTGACCCGTCGGGCTGACCCAGCCAATCACTGATGTTTGTTTACATCGGGTAAAATAGGATTTGACACATCCTATTTTACCCAATGTAAACAAACATTAGTGATTGGCTGGGAATACCCGTCTGTCTACCCGGATCAGCCCGACGGGTCCAATCACTAAGAGGAGGGGGGAGGGGGTAAAATGAAATGAACATATAAAAATGGGCCAATTTCATTGGTCGACGTAAATCAAGTAATTGGCGATAGTTATCCAGCGTCTTGATTGGTTGTTCGTTTATCGGGGGAGACTTCAGCGGAGGGAGGGGGGATGATGTTAACCGAAAAATCAACTTCGAACGGCCTAAATCAGGTTAAACTAAATTTCGAGGTTCAAAGTATAGGTTTATACAAAGAAATTCCAAAATATACGTGATTAAAGATTTTGATTAATGTGTATTGTCACGGGCAAAGAAGGATCTTCGAAATTGGCGCAGCAAAACCCGTGATAGAAAAAATCTTGACTGGTTTATCAGATGAGGCTTATCGGCCGAATAAGACATATAAACAGGTATTTAATTTAGCTTAAGGCTTAGATAAAGGATGAATCTTCGGCCGAACAAGCCTCATAACCAACGTGAAATCCGAAGAACCTGAACGCGAAAAAAGAGAAGAGCGAAGAATAAGAAACTAAAGATTAAATCAAGAAATATTGCAAATAATGAAGCAAAGCCGTCGGATTTTCTTGATTTATGTTGTAATTATCTTTGTAGGCCCCTACGTTAGTATGAGTTTCCCTTAAATTAGTTAAAGATGAAATAAGTTATTTTCCCTAAGTCCCTTTAAATTATAAGAGTAGAAAAAGCTATAAAAGAAATGGGAATTCGCGTTAGCAAAAGGACATCCTACGGGATTCCAATATTCCTCCTATAATACATTGAATAACTTTAAACATAGTAAATCTACGAATCACCCCCATAACAGTATAATTTAAATGTTTGTCGTCGCATTTTCGTGTTTTCATTTTTTATTGGTCCATCCGCTTGATTTTACTAACCATTCAATACGTTAAATTTACAAAATGTACTAAACACACGCTATATTTAAGTGGAGTGGCCTGTTAGCTAAGTAAATCCCTAATCCTAAACCCTAACTCTATCCAACATGTACCGTACAGTTCTAAACTCTTTAAGTTCTTTGAATATTAGTTTAACTTAATAAAACTGTGTGCGGGTAACATTGATTTTTCTAATGGATAGTTGTATGGTATGGCCTTTATAACTAAAAATGATAAGTCAAATTTTGTTACAAAGTCTCAAGAAAGCAAGTTACAGGTAATTTATATTTAATAAAAAAAAAAAAAAACTTAACAAGCAATTAAAATCAAAGATAGAATAAATTAGAATAGGTTAACTTTACGTATATAATATACAAAACAATTCTTTGTTATTGGAATAAGAAAGCGAAAAAAAAGAATATCTAAAAAAGGTACACCAATATACGTAGATATTGATCGATGTCGTTAATTAATATATTAAGGTAAGCGCACTATGCAAATTATTGCAGTATTGCAAAATGAAAACCGATTTCTCCGACTAAAATAAGTCCTGGCTAATTTAGACTAGCCTTATTTTATAGACAATGCACCGCTTTGAACTGGATCAAAAGACGCCGGTTTAGATTATGGATTTGCTAGATCATGTCATATCTATATTGATACTGTATTCAGCTAAAGATTTTATAACATTCTTTCAATGAGAGCTCAATTCTAATCTCTACCTAGTAAATAGAAGAATCTGATTCCTTTCGTTGAGGAATTGAGCGATGTAAAATTCGCTTGATGTTACTCATATGATCACACTGGCTCTTTAACTGTTAATTGGATTATTGTCTAATTTAAGCCATAGTCTTTCACGATACAGTATTAAAAATAATAACATTCAGAAGGCAAAATCCTCAAATCGTATCACTTCAATCCATATATTAAGCTTATTTCAAGATATATATCTTATAATTAACCGGCATTTTTCAGTTACTACATATTATTAGTTGTCAAGAGTTATCCGCGTAAAACTATATATCAGATATAAATAATTTAATTTAAAAATAAACTGATTTTAATTAAAGTACGTACGTATAACTGATAACGATAAGGTTTTAAAACCTTTCAATAACTACTTATACGTACAGTATGTATAATTAAAAAAGGGGCTATATATCAATATATATAAACAGTATATATATATTTTGATTTATTTAAAATTAGAATCTATTTTAGAAAATCTTTCTGTGGCTGAAACTTTGCTTTTTTTACTAGCGCCAATGAATATATGCATATGATCAACAGCAAAGCACTAAGGTATCCTAACACTACGTAACAAAAAAAATGATAAAATTCCATAAGAAATATCGGTTACGTGAAAAAGCGGCTTTGCACATTATAAGCCGATCGTCTTGCGGGAAGAACCTAATATATACGAACATTTACCGATCATATTATACGTAGTATATATTTAGTTTTTTCTTATTAAAAACGTTGCATAATTTTAATGAAAGAAAAAAGAAAAAATTTAATATTTTCAATCTACGTATGTTTAGTTAATATATCATTTTCATAATCTAACGTGATCTTGTTATATATCTAGTTTCATTATGCCAAACTTACTGTATATGTTTAGTATTAATCATTATATACTTGTATCACTAATTGAAAAATAAAATTATACATAAGGATTTTCTGAATGAATGAATCGAGTATGGTGGTCGATCGTTCATTATATGTCAAAAGATTTTAAAAAAAAAAAAAAAATAGAACTGTAAATCTGAAGCGAGAAAAAAAAAAAAATTCCATATCAGGAGATATCAGCAAATATATATATGCTGACTAAATTTAGAATACTTGGCCACTCCGACACGGCATACACTTTATTCTACCAAATAATGTATAAATATTGTAGTCTAGCCCGCTAGATCAATTCGGTATACGAAGTTGGCAAAAAAAAAAACTAAAGTGGCTTTTTTAAATTTTTTTTCTTTTTTTATAAAAAACTTACTATTAAAACTGAAATTACGAAAGTAATAAACTTTATTATCAATTATCAATTTCTTGACTGGGATAAAGATATATATATATATATATATTTAGAATAGAATATAAAAAAAAAAAACTTAGTATGAAACCTCTAGAGATACTATCATTGTTCTTCATTGTTGGCTTTGCGATAGTTTGTGCGGATAATACACCAATATGTTGGGATCACCCGAATCCGTTAAAACCATCTGAAAGAAAACGAGCTTCATGTTATTCAACAAATTCAAATGATTTATTATCATTCACAAAACGTGACGAATCCGACATGTTTAATGTTACTTTTACGTGTCTGGCGAATAATAAAACACTTTGTAACAAAGTAAAAAACGCGTTTGATTCTGCAGGACAAATAATTACTGCCGCGATCGCGTTCAAAATACCTGTAACTGTCAACGCAACCTTTACAGATTTTTGTTCAGTTTTGAATCAATGTACTTTAACTTCAGGAACTCTAACGTTAGGTAAAATATTTCGTTAATTAGTGATTCAATTCGAATCTTTTTTATTAATTATTTATTAAATTTTTTAGGAGGGGCTGCTCCAGCAAAATCCATACAAATTACTGATGATGATGGTGTACAACGATTATTTCCTCAATCTCTTGTTAAACAAAGAAATTTTACTGGTATTAATCATTCTATGTACTCAGGTTTTGACATTTTCGCTCTTTTCAATAGTCAAGCAGATTATTGGTTTGAGGGTGATGGTAAGATGAAAGAAACTCAGTCAGATTTCTTATTTGTTATATTACATGAGTTGATACATGGATTAGGATTTACTTCTGGTTATGATGATTTTATTAATGTGTCACCGCAGGCATTGACACCACAAATCTCGTTTTCTGAGGGTACTGGAGGTTTTACATTTGGTGGATTTGTAGAAAATGTATTCGATAAATGTATGGTTATTCTTCCATCTGGTCAACGTATATCAAATATTACAAAACAACTTAATACGTTTAAAGGCACATTTACCAGTACCCAAGATTTTGTAACTAAATTTGAAGCGTCTTCACAATATCAATTGGCTCTTAATATGATGATTGAAGCAACCACACCAAATTCTTTAGGACTTTTACCTCCTAAATCAACTGATATTTCAAATGCGACAATTCTTGAAACAACATTAAATCCTTATAGATCTGGTTCAAGTGTTAGTCATTTTGATTATAAAACTTATACTAGAACTAGTGATTTCTTAATGAGATACTTGCAAGAACGTGGTTTAACATTACGTCAATCCATATATTTGGGTGGGAATTATCCTTATGGTCCTATAGGTCCAAAATTACGAAGTTTTTTACAGTCAATAGGGTAAACTTTAAAAATTTAGTTTTGCAATTTATTTAATGCGACATGAACAGAATTTTAACAATCATCACATTTTAATATATATATATTTTTTAGATATACTATTCAATATAAACCTGGTCCATTTGACCCTACTCCTGGTAGCAATCCATTCGACAATGCCGGCAAGCCGAATGCAGAAATTTGTCTATCCTTCATATCATACATAACTTCATTCTTGTTAATAGGTCTAGCTATAACTTTATGGTGATTAGACGAAATTTATTACCTGTAATATAATTTATGTACATTAAAGCTGCGAATTTCCTTTATACTCTTGTATTTTTTGTAATTTATTTATCTTTAAAAAATTCGGTCTATTGTTACATATCAAAGTTATGTGACTCTTATTCATTATACAGTGATAAGCACGTACATAACTGAAAGTCAAAACTTAATATATATTTTATATAATATATATACTGTATATAAATAATATAATGATGTATATAAAAAATAAAATCTTAGTGTCATGAACGTTTGTACTGTAGTACAATTGTAGATTATACGTACTGTACGTACAGTACGTAAATAAGTAGTAATTATTTAACTACTCTCTTTAATTTTTGTCACATTTATTCGGTAAAGATGCGTCATACATTAATTTTTGTAATGATGTGTGTTTTACAAAAAGTATTAACAGTTATTTTTCTATGACGAATATCCACTTCTGGGACATATGTCATATTCACATTGCTCACCGTGGAGATCTTGCGTTTCTAGTCTATTGTAAATAATTCCGTAAGATTACGGTAGATCACAAGATTCCGTCATTATATAAGGATGTGGGCTAATTGCATTACGCCAGCCACAATCAAAAACCTAATATGAGATGACATTAATCTGAATGTAATAATAGTGAGGACACAAAGTTCTACGTAAATCATTTGTTAGATGGAAATCTGTCGATCATGTCAACATAGTATATACCTCCCTTTCAAAAATCTCATCCAAAAATAAAACTTATTAATAGGCTTTTGACAAAGTGAAAATAGTTTACAATCGATTTGTACGTTATGGGTAAGTTACATACGAGAATATTTTGGGCATGTCCGGAGGTATGCCTCAGCCTGAGGCGTTTCCGTCTTATTGTGTACTTTTAGTTAAAATAGGGAACTAATCATATGATTTTAGGAGGCTTTCCTCAATGTAATTTACAAGTATCTTTATATAGTACGATAAAAATATCCACTCTATATAAAAATGCCAAATTTAAATTAAAAAGAACATAAGACGCCAAATTTAAGGATCTGTTTATTAGCAGATATCGATATAAATCATTGACCAATTTTGACCATTATTAATAAAAAAAATGCATTCTAAACAATTATAGAGTTTTACATATGTTAAAACCGGTTTAATCGAGTTTTTTTTCAATTTTATTAAGATTATATAATTAAAATTTAACCAGTCGATCTTAGTTGATTAGCCCGATTCATTAAGATTGGGCTATCATCACTAGTGACCCAATAAATCCTGCGTAACTTAAATCTTTTGCATTGGACTTATAATGCTTTTCGTTTCCTGCCAAATTAGGAGGTCGTCTAAAGCCAGGTAGTTTTTTAAATTGATTCTGAGAGATTTGTAAATTAAAAATCACGTGACGCGTATAAATTACTACCTGGCTTTAGGCGATCCCCAAATGAGGAATCGGAAATTTTTTTCTTCTGAAAAATTTGTTTATGTACTTTATTCATACCATAACAATTAATGAAATTTACAGTGAAACGTAAATATCTGATGAAGTTGTCACCTTTTCAAAATTATTTGCCCAATCGTACGACTGCTTTGACATTCCAAATTTATCCGAGCAAGAGAAACAGTATTTTCGCGTAATAACGCTCACTACGCGCTATTTTGAGTATGCGCACGTAATTTCGAGTACGCGCATGAGCGTTATTTTGAGACAATTAAAAAATTTTAAATAATTCCTGTATAAAAAATAAACAATCAAAAATACTAGATTTAGTTCTAAGTAAACCTTCCTTCGAGCTTTAACAAAGGTTGTTCTGAAAAACAACTTTTGTTAAAGGTTTACTTAGTACCAAATCCAGTTCAAAAGTATTTTTAAATCTTACTATAAATAAACATTCCTTACTATGGGGTGCGCGCTATTTTGGGACGCGCATGAGCGTTTTTTTGAAACTACTGTATACTGTATATATTATTTTCGGCATGATTTTCGAAATAACGCTCATGAACGTTATTACGATATGCCATATCCATTTGTAATGCCTATAATGTCTACTTTCAGGAAAAAAAATTAGTTATGAAAATTCACTGTGAATTTTTGATGCAAAATATTATGCGTCAATCATGAATTTGGTCGACCCGACTCAATAATTTTCATAGATTGAAGAATAACTTAGGTCAATTTTTAATGTAAAAGTGTTCTGCGTCAATTATGGATTTTGTCGATTATTAATCGACCTGACTCATTATTTTTCACAAATGAAGAGTAAACTGCTGACTCCTGGTACTACCCGAGGTGCCGAAACAGGGGATACATTGTTTGAACTGCTATATACATATATGTACGTATATAGAAATCCCCGGCTTGAAGTATAAATCAAAATTAAGCCACTAAATCTCACCGGGTATAAAGAGTCAGCAGTTTACGGTAGGTCAATTTTTAATGTAACTATCATTTCATATCGTCTTATATTCACAAAATGATATTGAATAGTTTATTAAAACTTTCTTTTCATTAGATATATAAATTTATTGAGTTTTTTTTTTTTGCTGTTATATACCTTTAAAGAATCTTTGAATATTCATAAATTATTACGCTTTATCATATTACCAATAACATTGTTTAATGTTAACATACTCCCCTAAGAACATAAAACGAATGCAAATGATATTTGACGTACGTACGTAAGTTATGTACCAAATCAGATAATTTCCGTGCCCCTACCAAATCCTAATGTAAAAATATTACGTTTCAGGGACCAATCAATTTTCCTAATTGTAAAGAATCTGACACTGTCATAATAGATTTGTGGGAGTAATTTACGATTTGGAATGCAATAATTACTATTTTAGAGATTACATATTGTGCTTTAAAAAGAAAAAAAAAACAAATAAAGTAATACGATTCAAAATTATTTATTCAAATTAAATTAGTCCGTAAGTAAAAATAAAAAATAAAAAATAAAAAATAAAAATAAAAAAATTCATTAATCTAAGTGTTTAAAATAAGCTATTCAATTCATGAATATTTACTATTTATTTTCATCTTATTCTGCTACGTAACATAATTATGCTAATAGCAGAATTTAACATAATTTATATTTGCTAGCACAGTATAAAATTTAACATAATTTGAGTATATATGTTGTCCTCAGACTAACGCTTGTCTCGGATCACAGCTGACGCACCTCAAATGTAGATTGTTAGGTGAGGTGCGTAACCTATCGATCGGTCATTATGCACAGAAAAAAAATATGTATAGAATAAAAGTATTATCGAAATTGAACGTGCTGAGAAAATTTAAACAGGAAGAGTATGCAGTGAAAATTTAGGCAAAAAAAAAAAAACGGTACGTATAGAAAAAAAGTACATATTAATTGGAAATAGAATGTGCCACGAAAATTCGGGCAAAGAAATTTAAAGAAAAGAATGGAGGTGTATATCTTACAAAACAGTTATGCAATACACCATTACAAGCACTCAGATTAGAATTTGTAATTTGTATATAATAAATATTTGATTATTTATTTATTTTAGTATAAATTTTAATAATAAACAACATATAGTTTAATCCAACATAAAATAGTTCAACTCTACATATAAACTACATAACAAAGATAACTTTATTATTACAATAAATTATTTTTGAATAAATAATTTTTTGATTCAACCTCATAATCATAACCTACTAATTTATTTGATACAATAAATTTTTACAATCTGCAATTATAAGTTTAAAATTTTATTAGTTCTTTATAAAAAAGTTCAATAAAACAATTGGTTTGTATAATAAACCTTTTTATTAAAATCTCAGCATGTCATAAAGTTGATTATACAAGTTATTGCTAATAGAAGAACAACTAAAATAAGATCATACATCTTGTTATATTTGTCAATTACATCAGGAAACTTTTTAAACTAATAACTATTGATTATTATCTAGGGTTACTAATCAATTAGTAACACCCCCATTGATAGAAATCAATATAGATAGAAGGGTTGAGATCCCGTGGCCTAGTGGTCTAGGCACCCAACCCTCCATAAGCAGGTTTCAGGTTCAAGTGTGGATTCTACAAATACTTGAATATACTTATACATGGAAAGTCCAAGTGAGTACAAGTTTGGATTAGGAATTTCTGGAAAGAGGTCCATTGTAGAAAGTTGGCACTATGTGTAATAGTGGTTGTTACAGAAGATTTTATAACACAATAGTTGTGCATATAAATCCTCGATTGGCATAAATAGTACTAACAACCCCTAAGGCAGTATTGGGGAACTTGGTTGGGAGAATAACTGGGCAGTTACAAGAATTTTAGAGTGGTGAGAAAAGTAGTGAAACAAAAAGAGACCTGCGGTAAAGAGTTGGCCTTATCAAATTTGGAACATTTCTGGCATTATATAAATTTCTCTCTAGCTAATAAGAGATTGAAGCATAAAGATATGCATGTATAAATAGATCTAACAGACAATGATCATACTTATATAGGAGTTTTTGGACATTAAAAAGACTCAGAACCTACTAATATCAGAATAGCTAGTATAAGTGTATACAGTGGTAACTAGAAGCTACAACTGCTAAGAATTACTATAAATAGAAAATATGATATATCTGTTAAAAACCACTAGGCCTTATAATACTACTCAACTATACTTGGTACTAGAAGTATATATAAAATATGTCTAAACTCCTTATTATTATATTGAAAAGTATAGTTATTCATACATTGCCAAATTCACAATGTTAAGACCTGGGTTCCAAAGTTGCAGGAAATCTAGCTAGTTATAGCAACATACAGGCTTGAGATACTTACCCAATTGGGTAGAGGTAGCTACATGGCTTAAGGTACAAACTCCTGAAAAGTATGCTAGTAGAGATTAAGAAAATTCTCTGTTAGACACATCAAACCGAAAGCAAAAAGTGCTCATTTAGAGAAATACATACTAATTTGAGAGTTAAAATAGTAGGTTATATAGGTAATGTGGTGAATATATGAATACTAATTAGCAATTAAAGAAGGA